TGCCCATTGTCACTGTCACACACTGCCACTGGGGCACTGTATGCCCATTGTCACTGTCACACACTGCCACTGGGGCACTGTATGCCCATTGTCACTGTCACACACTGCCACTGGGGCACTGTGTGCTCATTGTCACTGTCACACACTGTCACTGGGGCATTGTCACACCCCTCTGCTCCTCCAGAACAGCCCGGGGGCCAGGGATGTCCCCTCCTAGATATGTCCCCTCCCAGGGATGCTCCATCCCAGAAATGCCCCATCCCAGAGATGTCCCCTCCCAGGGATGAGCAGCTTTTTGAGGCACCAAACACAACAGAGCCCCCCCTCTCCCCAGTCCTGTCCTGGGGGTGCAGAGACCCCAGGCCCTGCAGCAGGAGGGTCCGTCCCCCCCCCAGAGATTCCCCCCCCCCCCCCAGCAGCTTTTTGAGGCACCAAACAAAACAAACAGAGCCCCCCCTCTCCCCAGTCCTGTCCTGGGGGTGCAGAGACCCCAGGCCCTGCAGCAGGAGGGTCCCAGCCCCAAGCCATGCTGTCTCCTGGAGGTTCCTGGGGTCCCCCCTGTGCCGGGGGTGTGGAGCAGAGGAGGGGGTGCTCGGAGCCCCCCGGCCCCGTGCCCCGTGCCCCGTCAGGGGGTGAGGAAGCGCCGCAGCACCAGGTGCACCACCACCACCACGGCTGCCACCAGCACGTACTTCACGTAAACATTGTCCAGGTTCTGCACGGCCTCCTGCCAGGGAGGGGACACGGGGGGGTCAGTGCTGGCAGTGTCCTCGACCCCCAAACCCAAGCCCCTGACCCCCAATACCTGACTCCTTCAGCTACCCTGCCCCCCGCACCCCAAATCTACCCTCCTGACCCCCAAACTATAATCCCCTGCCCCCAAACCCTGACCGAGCTCCCCCCGAGCTGCCCCCTCACCCATCCTCCCTGCTGGGCGATCCAGCGCGCGATGCGGTTCTGCAGCATGAAGTCGCCGACGTAGCGCGCGATGCGGCGCAGGAAGCCGCTGACGCCGCGCTGCCACACGTGCATGGCCATGCGGTAGCCAAAGGCCAGCAGGGCGATCACCCGGCCCCAGTTGATGCCACTCTCGAACAGGCTGCAACAAAGCCCAGCAGAGCCCTGAATCCCTGCCCCGAGCTGCCCAGGCGGCCGAGCGCGAGCGGCGGGGTCAATGTCGTTTTGATTTTTTTAAGATTTTCCAAGCCTTCTGGTGTTTGCGTTCTTGTAGCAAACTTTTTCACGGTAAACAACTTATTGTTTTGCATTCTTTTATGGAGGAGGGGAAATTTGACGGGCTGTTGGTTTGTCCAGTGTCATTGGAGAGGTGGCACTGTCACCCTCCAGTCCACTGTCACCTTTGGAAATCTATAAATGTTGGAGTCAGAAAATAAACTCCCCCTTTTCTACCTTGAGAACAGCAGCAATGTTCACTTCGTGTTGTTTCATGTCCCATAGCAACGGGTCAACACTGAGGAAATGGTCGCAGATTGTACCAGGAAAAGCTTGGGTTGGATGTTATAGAACATCTTTTTATGTGAGGTGAGAAAAGTAACTCTGAAATGGGGCTGCACTCAGAATTTTCCATGGGAATCCAAACATTCCTGGGAAAAATACAGCTCTGCAGTAATTTGCAAATTTACCTGAGTGTGACCAGGACAGGGACAGAGGTTAATTTAATTTACCTGAGTGTGACAAGGGTTAATTTACCTGAGTGTGACAAGGGTTTATTTACCTGAGTGTGACCAGGACAGGGACAGAGGTTAATTTAATTTACCTGAGTGGGACAGGGACAGGGGTTAATTTAATTTACCTGAGTGTGACAGGGAAGGGACAGGGGTTAATTTAATTTACTTGAGTGTGACAGGGACAGGGACAGGGGTTAATTTAATTTACCTGAGTGTGACAGGGACAGGGACAGGGGTTAATTTACCTGCGTGAGTTGCTGCCTCAGCCAACAAGGCTTCCCGGACAGGGGAGCAGGAAAAGGACAGAAAGGAAGGAGTTAAACACTGGAGAAAAGAAGGAATTAGACACAAACACCGAGCAGAGGGCACAGGGACAGGGCTGTCACAGCCAGAGGTGTTTGGAGGAGTGGCAGGAGCCCAGAGACCCGTCCTGCCTGTGCCACAGGCTGCCTGACCGGGGTGACATTTTCCTGCAGACAGAACCCCTCGGTGCCACCTCGATCCAAGCTTCCCTGGGAAGTCCTGGCAGGAAGTTTTCCAGGTCTGTGCCCTCACTCCTCACCTGTCACTGTGCTTTGGGTGGCTGTCACCCGCAGGAGGCTCTGGGTGTCACCTGCAGGAGGCTCTGGGTGTCACCTGCAGGTTCTGTGTGTCACCTGCAGGCTCTGGGTGTCACCTGCAGGCTCTGTGTGTCACCTGCAGGCTCTGGGTGTCACCTGCAGGCTGTGTGTGTCACCTGCAGGGGCTCTGGGTGTCACCTGCAGGCTCTGGGTGTCACCTGCACTCTGGGTGTCACCCGCAGGAGGCTCTGTGTGTCACCTGCAGGTTCTGTGTGTCACCTGCAGGCTCTGGGTGTCACCTGCAGGCTCTGGGTGTCACCTGCAGGCTCTGGGTGTCACCTGCAGGCTCTGGGTGTCACCTGCAGGCTCTGGGTGTCACCTGCAGGCTCTGGGTGTCACCTGCAGGCTCTGGGTGTCACCTGCAGGCTCTGGGTGTCACCTGCAGGCTCTGGGTGTCACCTGCAGGCTCTGCCAGCCCGTGGAGCAGCCCCCATAGCGAGGTGTCCATGAGGACCAGGTTGGGTGGGGACTCTGAGCCACCTCATCTCGTGTGTGGCATCCTGCCCATGCCAGGGGTTGGGCTGAGACAGTCTTCAAGGTCCCTCCTGACCCAACCATTCTATGATTCCATGATTTCTGTGACCATCCCACCTCCCAAGACTGTGGCTGGGGTTGTTCCCTGGGATGTCCCAGCCTGGAGCAGGGGACAGCAGGGGCTGGTTGTGCCCTGCAGGTTGAGCTGGGACAGGCACGGGCCAGGTGCCCCAGGGACATCCCCGAGGCACCCCAGGCAGCTGGGCAAGGACTGGGAGGGGACAATGACGGGAGCAGTGCACAGGAGGAGGAGCAGACAGGCAGAAGACACAGGAACCACCCCGGGAAGCTCGCTGGGAGCTGGGCTAGGGCTGGAGGGTGAAGCTCAAAGACAGAATGTGGGTTTAACCCAACGACCTCCCCTTCCCTTCTCCTCCAGGGAAAGCCCCCACCCCAGCCAGGAGCTCCTGAGGCTTTACCTGGAGGCAATTTTGGTGAAGTGCTCGTAGGCGTTGTCGCGGGTGGGCTGCAGGCTCTCCAGCATGGTGCGGAACTCGGCGTCGTAGCGCCTGTAGATGTCGTCCCCGATGATGGCCAGGCGCTGCCCCACCTGGCTGCCGGTGCTGCGGGCCCAGCGCGAGTCAGGCCGGGCTCGGAGCACGGCCTGGCTCGGGCTGAGGGGTGGGAGCAGGGATTTACCTCTCCAGGTCCTGCTGGATTTGCTCGATCTCGGGGTCGGGCGGCAGCTCCGCGCCGCGCTCCTGGCGCTCCTGCTGGTAGCGGTAGAAGGCGTAGCTGCGGAACACCTCCTCGGCCTCCTCGGCCACGCGGCCTTCTGCGGGGACACCGGGGACAGGCCACGCGTTCAGCCTCAAATTTGGAAGAGGCCATTCGCACAGGACCAGCTCCAGACCCACACATTTGTCCTTGTCTGCACAAAACCATCTGCAGACCCACACATTTGTCCTTGTCTCCACAGAACCATCTCCAGACCCACACATGTCCCCACAGAATTTTCTCCAGACCCACACACGTGTTTCTGTGCCCTCACAACCCTCTCCAGACTCACATGTGGCCCTGTCCCCACATAAACATCTCCAGGTCCACACAACCTTTGCCAGACCCACACATTTGTCCTTGTATCCACAGAACCATCTGCAGACACACACATTTGTCCTTGTCTCCATACAGCCATCTCCAGACCCACACATTTGTCCTTGTCTCCACAGAACCATCTCCAGACCCACTCAGGTATCCCTACACCCACAGAACCTTCTCCAGACCCACACATGTCCCTGTCCCCACATAAAGACCCCCAGACTCACTCCCTGGAGCTATTTCCAAGGTGAGACCCCACAGAACCTTCTCCAGACCCACACATGTCCCTGTCCCCACATAAAGACCCCCAGACTCACACAAACTTCTCCAGACTCACACATGACCCCACAGAACCTTCTCCAGACCCACACACGTGTGTCCCTGTCCCCATGCTGCTCAGGGACATGGGAGCGTTTCAGCCCCACGGTGACAGATCCCTCATCACACACATTCCATGGCTCCAGGGAAAGCCCCCACGGGATGTCCTGGATCGAGCTCAGTTTGAGCTGCTCCAGAAGCACCTGGAGAGGGACAGTGGCTCCCACAGCCCCACTGAGTGACCCCACAGGGACCAGGAACACCCAACTCTGTCCCACCATCCCAGAAATCCAGACTGGCCAGGCAGATCTCCAGAACCTGTATTCCAACCTGAGATCTGCCTGCCCAGGGCTGGGAAGTGAGGGCACAGCTGTGCTGGCAGTGCTGCCCCACAAACCCCATCCCCAAGCCCCAAATCACACCCAATCCTCCTCACAGGCTTTTCCAGCTGCTCCCACCTCCCTGTCCTGGCTGGACCTGCCGTGCTCAGGTTACACCAGCAGAGCTGAAGGGAAAGGACAGCTCCTGTCACTTTCCAGGGTTGGTTTTTTAATGTTTTTAGACACGGGTTTGTTTGGTGGCAAACAAACCTCCAGATTTCCCCTCTCCTTCAACTTCTGGGAACTGGAGTCGGTGATGTTCCAGGGAGAGCAAGAAAATGAAAGCAACTGAGTCAGAGTTTCAGGGAGAGGAGTGCAAACACACAGCCAGACACAAGAGGAAATCTCTGCACCAAAAAAAAAAAATCCCTGGAGCTATTTTTAGCAACACCAGGACAGGATGATTCCCCCTTCCCACAGGTGCTACCCCCACTGGGGCTGTCTTGGGATCTCTCCCTCTCACGGGATCTGGGTCAGGGTTTGCCCGGTGGGTTCTCAGTGCCAGCAGTGCCAAGGGCAGGTTTGGAGCTGCTCAGGGATCTCTGGAAGGAAGGAACTGCTCCGTGTCTGCCCAGGTGATTTAGCCTCCTCACCTGCCCAGCAGCACCAGCAGTCACCGTGTCCCACCCTTCATCCTGCTGGGATGAGCTGAGGGTTTTTCCTGTCAGCCCCATTCCCAGTTTCACCCATTAACCAGGGCTGGGCTGGGCTGGGCTCACATGGGGACAGTGGCCCTGCTCCCAGCTTGTCACCACTGCCCTGCCAGGGCACACAGGGCCTGATGTCACCCCAAGGTGACTGACTGAGATCTGTGTTTTCCCCTCTGATTCAAACCCCAAACCCCTCCTGCTCTCTCATGCTCAGGGAAGGAAATACTCAACGCCAGGCAGCTCCCAGCACTTTGTTCTCTCCGTGCCTCCAATCCCACCTTGCTGCCCACCCTGACCATCCAATGCCAAGCACACAATCCTTGGTTATTTTGGGTGGAAAAGAACCTCAAACCTTGCCCCGCTCCACCCAGGGGACCGGGATGCTCTGAGCCCCCAACACTGCTCCTCCCAAAAGCACTGAGCACCTCCCAGTTCAATCCAGCTCCTTACAGAGCTGATCTGTTACCCCAGCCTTGCGAAAAGCCCTGGAGACAGGAAATCCCATCTAGCCAAAGGAACACAGCAGGGAAATGAATGAACAAATAAAGGTTTGAAGGGGAGGGGAGCTCCCCTGAGCACCCCAGAGCCCTTTACCTGAGCTGAGCCTGCGCCTGTGGCTCCCCCGGCGTCCCTGTGCCTGCGGAGGGTCCCCCTCATTCCCTGAGGCCATTGCAGAGAGGTTTGGGAATGGCAGCTTCACCTGCAAGGGTGATGGAGATGGTGAGTGGCCGGAGCCCTGTGGTCACACAGCCCAAGGATCAGAGCTCTCTGCTTTTATCTCTGCCAGGGCTGGCTGACTCCTCCCTTCAGCACACTCATTCTGTGTCCCTGGAATTCTGAGAACAGCTCCACTCCCACCTCCCTGGGTTCCCCTGTTTGATCTCAATGTTGATGCCATTTTTTTTGCCAGAAAAAGAGACCTCACACCTCTAATGGACTTCCCTGTTTGAGGATCTCAATGTTGATGCCATTTTTTTGCCAGAAAAAGAGACCTCACACCTCTAATGGACTTCCTTCCTGCTTCAAGAGACCTGTGTGGTAGCTCAGACCACAGAGCTTCATAAAAGGCTGGAAGAATAATTCCAGCACTCTGAGGCTCCCTGGCTGTGACCACACTGAGCTGCCATGATAACATCTTCACAAGAGGAGCCCTGATTTCCTCCTGGACTCCAATTGCTTCTAACTCCCCTTGTTTTTTACATTTCCCCTCTCAGAAAAGAAGAAAATTAAATGAGAGCTAAACACAAAAGTCACCTTTTCCCTGAAGTTCACAGGCATCCCAAACCTGCAGTTCAGGGCTCATCAGAGCTCCTTGAGGCCACAAAGTTCCTGTTCAGGATTACCAGGATCAGGGCAGCTCCTTGCTGCTGCCTGACATTCCAGAGCATATTCCCAGCCCACACATCCACAGGGCTGAGCTGAGGGCTTTCCTCATTTGCCCCAAGCCTGAACTCATGGATGAAACACAGTTCCTGACACCCCGGAATTTAAACTGCATCCTGGACAAAAATAAAGAAGTGCTGGGTAGGGGTAAATAACCAGCCATGGGTATGGGAGAAGTGCACAATGTGGTTCAAGCTCATGGCATCACACTGGAGATTGTTTAGAAGGAAAAAGAAATGAGAAAAAGAGACAAGACAGGAGGACAGCCCATTTTCTGTGGGATGGGGCCTGGAAGTGCAAAGCTTTAAAAACCACGAGGCCCTGCACATCTGCACAGGGGCCTGAGCCTGGTGACCAGCATGGAAATGCTGGTTTTTCCTACACTCCGAGGATGGGAGGACAGGATTGCCCCATTCCTCCCCAAACTCCAACATCCCCACCCAAGACAGAGCTGAGAATGCAGTGAGGATCATCAGCTGGGACAGGGGTAAATCCCTGGGGAGAGCTGCTGGCCACTCGGCCAGATCAGCTCCAGAGCTGCCTCTCCTGGCTCTCAGTCACAGAATTCCTTGTCCTGGGATGTGCAGATCCCTTGGATGGTGTCCATCCCCTGGGAGGTGCAAATCCCTTGGATGGTGTCCATCCCCTGGGATGTGCAGATCCCTGGGATGTGCAGATCCTTTGGATGGTGTCCATCTCCTCCTCCACTCAGGAGCCTCCTGTGCTTCACCCTCTGCCATCCCAAGCCACGGCTGAGCCCACCTGCACTGGGAGGACTCAGAGCTGTTCCCAAGCTGGGAGCGGCCCCTTGGAGCTGTGGGAACAGTGGGAATCTCCTCTGTTACCCCACAGTGCCACTGCTCAGGTGGCACAGGATGCTGGCCAGGGTGTGGGTGCACCCAGCCAAGAGCTCAGGAGCCTCTGGAGCTTTTCCAGCTCAGCCTGTGGGGCAGGGGGCTGTGCCCACAGCTGCCCACAGCTGCCCAGAGCTGCCCAGGGCTGACAGGGACTTTTCCTGCCTGGCATGAGTGAGTGAGGAGTGAGGACTTCCTGGAGCACATAACCCAGAGGCAGATGACTCATGATTTTCGACTTGAATTTCGTTTTCGAAGCCCTGCAGGAACTTGTGCTTTCGTTTTCCTTCTGGGCCCTGGCAGCGCTGTTTCCTCTGTCACACATGGTGCTGCAGCCCTGTCACTGCTGTCCCCACCCTCTGCCGGCCCAAATGCCCATGTGGACTCCTAAAAGAGTTTACTGCCCGTCTCTGCAGGGCTCAGAGTGCCTCAGACCATCCTCTCCGGGTTCCAGAGCTGCTCCCCGTGCTCCTCCTGCTTCCCAGCTTCCCTCTTCCCCCTTTGTTGTGAGAACCATGCAGGAGAACAGGGAAGGGTGTGAAGGAGGAGATGGCACCCAAACACCCAGAGACAGCCTGGGGCTGCAGGAAATGAAAACCCTCCAAGATTTGAGTCAGGGCTCAAGGGAGGGTGTCAGGAGAGCTGCAGGGTCTCATCCACCCTACGAGGCTGCAAGGGGTTAAAAGCAGCTGCAATCCCGATATCCAAGCCCAGCCACGGGGCTCTGGAATCACCCCCTGACATGTTATGAATGCCAGGAAATTGATGGAGCATCCCCTGGGACGAGCTTTGGCAGCGATCCCTGCCGGGCCAGAGATCCCGCAGGATTCCTGACCCCATCCCCCCCGGCCAGGGGGACCAGGGCCGCTCCTCCCCCAGGGCAGCAAAATTTGCCCAGTTTGGGGATTGCACAGTTTGGGGGTTGCCCAGTTTGGGGGGTTGCACAGTTTGGGGGTCGCGCAGTTTGGGGGTTGCACAGTTTGGGGGTTGCCCAGTTTGGGGGTTGCCCAGTTCGGGGCCTCCCCCCCAGCACGGCCCCAGGGTGGGCACACGACCCCCGGCATCCACCCAGCCAAGGTCGCCCCAAGCCGTGCCCGTGTCCCGGGTGTCCCCCGTTCCCCGGCGGGGACAGCTCTGCCCACCGATGTCCCCTGCCCTGAGCCCTTCTGATGCCGCGGGCACTGTCACCACCGCGGCGTGTAAAAAAAAAAAAAAAAAAATCGGTTAAACGAGAGGAAATTCCCTTTTTGGGGCAGGTAAATCCCCTCTTTGGGGCAGCGACCCGCCCGGAGCGAGACCTCCAGCCCTGCCCCGGGAGTTTCCCGCAGCCAGCGTGTCCCCTGAGGAGCCACCCGACACTTTGTCCTTGTCACCCCTTCCGCACCCCGCACGCCGCGGCTGCCGGTCCATGCCTGCCCATCCCGGAGAAGCGGGATAACCCATCCCAGGAGAGTCTGGGGAGGGGGAAACGGGGCTGCCCCCTCCACTCACCGCGTCCCGGCGGGTCGGGATATCCCGGGAGCTACGGCATCCCTGCCGGGACCCGCTCCATCCCTCCGGCCGCTCCCTTCCTGCCTCCCCGCGGGCAAAGGAAACGCGCGGGGCCGGGGAGGAGGAGGGAAAAGAAGAAGAGGAAAAAAAAAAAAAAAATCAAGTAGAAACCCAACCCCACTGACCATAGATAGAGGCGGGAGCGGAGCCGCGCTTTATTCAGCTCCCTCTAGAGGCACCAACCCCGGCGCGGGGCAGCGCCGAGCACCGGGGGGGTTTTTTGGGGGGTTCTGGGCGCTCCTCGGGGGGTTCGGGGGATGCTGAAGCATCTCCCGGTCCCTGCGCGGCTCGGGGGGTGCCGGGTGCGGGGTTGGTACCGCACACCCCGTGCCCTCCTTGCCGGGCTCTCCTCGGCTCCTCCCTGGCTTCTCCAGAGGTTTTTGGAGCTTTTCCTTGCGGCTGCACCTTAAATTCTCCCTCTGCCGGGCTCCCCGGCTGAGCGCCCGGTTAAAGTAACGATTTGAGAGTTTCTGTTTCCTGGGAGGGAAATCGTGTCGATCCAGCAGGAAATAAAAAAGTCACCGGTGGAAGAGGCGGCTCCCGCCAAGTGCTCAAAGAATTCGAAATCCGCGGAGATTTTGGGGAAATCGCAGCAGCTCGAGGAGAGAACGAGAGAGATTCAGCCCCGGAGGGTTCAGCAATCTGCCCCAGCTGCTTTTCCTCTCCTCGCTCCTTGGGCCGCTGCCAGGGCCGCTGCTGGGGCTGCAAAATGCCAGATAAGCAGCAGAGCTTTGGGCTGGGCAGAGCCTGGGCGCTGATTATCGCATCACCTGTCTGCCCGATGGCAGGAGCGCTCTGAGGGCCCCGCGGGATCTCCTCTGCCCCGGGGCCAGGGATTTTGGGATTCTTGGCTGAGCTTTTCCAGGGAAAGCCGGCCCCTGGCTGCAGAGGGTCCTGCTCCCTCGGAGGTTTGGGGACATGGCCTTGGACACCCTGCTGAGGTGTGAAATCAGCTGGAGGGAGAAAAAAAGGAATTCCCATCGTGGCTGTCCTTCAGGGGAGGAAGATCATCATGGAGTGAGGAATCAGCTCGTGGGGCTGTGCCCACCAGGCTGGCAGCAGGGGGGTGCCGAGCAGCTTTGTCCCGTGACACTACAGCCACCTGGACACCATGAGGACACCCTGTCCTGCCTGAGGCTGCAGCTCTGGAAAAACACCCCTGAAGGGCCAGCAGGTCCTGGTGTTCACCCTGGCAGGGTGACACAGGGTGACAGGAGTGGCAGGAACCACTGCCAGGATGGATGGAGGAGGTTTTATCTGCCTGTGGCCTCATCCAGACCCCCCTGCTGTGCTGTTCCCACAGGTGCCCGTGTGGGAGATGGTGCCAGCCCCGAGCCAAAGCTCTCCGTGGACTCTGATGCTGAATGGGAGAAGCAGCAGCTCCTGGAAGGAGAGGGGAGGGCTCAGAGGGAAGGGAAATCCCCCCTCACCCTTGAGGACCCGAGGGCCACTTGGTGGTTGTGGGGTGGAGCCCTGAGGAGTGAGTGGACATGGAAAGCAGCCAGGGGGTGTAGGAGGCTGGAGCACCCTCCAAATTCAGTCTCCAGCATGACTGGAATGGGTCCTTTGGCTGTGGAATATCTGGAGCTGGAATATGAGGATCCTCTCTCAGCCACTCCTGAGAGGAGTTCAATTCCCACATGGATTGGGAGGTGACACCCAATTCACATGACACATGGGGAGGTGACAGCTCGGGGGGGTCACTCTCCTTGTTTTTGGGCTTGTTTTGGTCAGCAGGTGAAGGTGCAGGCCCCCACAAGCAGAGGTGTCCCCAGGAAGGGGCTCTGGAACAGAGCAGACAGCGAAGGGCTCAGGTGGGTGAGGGGATGGGGAGAGGGAGGGATGCTCTGAGGAGGGTCCCAGGACCCCCAGGCCTTGGAGAAGGTGTAAGGATGGAGAACCACGAGCAAAACTGATCCCAGCTCTGCCCTGGCCCCCCAGGGCTGTCCTGGAGGTGCTTCCATCCCTCCGTGGCCCTTCCCAGCTGAGGAGGGAATTCCCTTGGGATGCGCTGGTGGGCAGTGGGCAGCCCTTGGGACAGGCTTTTGGGACTGCTTGGCCCATTGGTGACGCTGGGGGACATCAGCCCCGTGCCACGGAGCACTCCAGGAGCCCTGGGTGATGAAACGGCCGCGGGAGGGGGAAGGGTGGGAGCAGAGGGAAAGGTTTTTTTCCCAGCTCAGCTGCTGGTGTCAGTTCCATCAGAACAGAAGCACTGTCAGCACTGACACCACCTCTGCCCAGCTCTGTCCCACTGCAGGCTCCTGCCCGGGCAGGGGGGTGGGGAGGGAGCAGGATTCGCTCCTGAGCGGGGCTGCAGAGAGCCCTGCAAGCCCCCGGGACCTGCTGCTGCTCACAGGGCGAGCCAGGAGAAATCAACTGCCAGGGGCAGGGCTAGACAGCATTCCAGCGGGAATTCCTCCCCATGAGGCCCTGGCACAGGGTGCCCAGAGCAGCTGGGGCTGCCCCTGGATCCCTGGCAGTGCCCAAGGCCAGGCTGGGGCAGCCTGGGACAGTGGAAGGTGTAAGAGCCGTAATGAGAGACGCGGGACTCCAGGCAGCTCTTCCAAAATGCAGTTTATTACATCCAAGAAAATCTATATTCAAAAATCTTCCTGCCAAGCATCCATATCTGTGACAGTTTCTTGCCAAACTTTCATCCTTCCCAACAGGAAGGTGTCCCTGCCATGGCAGGGGTGGCACTGGATGGGCTTTAAGGTCCATTCCAACCCAGCCGAGCATTCTGTGGATCTGAATCTCCTCGGAGCACCAGGTGGCACTCTCCGACTTCCCAGCGAGCCGAGCTGAGCCCGGCTGGGAGACGCAGACACCGCTGGCTCCCGGCTGCGGAGACCGGGGGACAGCGGGGACAGCGCGATGGGACAGCGGGGCACCGGCTCTGCGCGGCTCAGAGGGGTTTTCCAGGCGGTTTTTGGGTGGGTGGATTCACCTCCCGCACCCTCAGCAAATCCCAGAATGGTAAAAACCCCACCCAGCAAACCCCTGTTGTTGGCCAGGTTTGTCCCAGAGTTCCCAACAGGGTCCCGAGGGGGACAAGGGCACCTTTCCCGTGGTGCCACCTCTGTCCCCACGCCGGGATGTCACCCTGTGCTGGCTCTGGGCTCTGCAGGAGCACAGAACGTGAGGCTCCAGGCAAAGCAAAGCGCTTCTCGCACGCAGCAGATTTATCAAATTGATTAAAACCCCACCAGCTCCAGACCTGGCTCCTGTAACAGCTCCTGGAGCTGGTTAATCACGCTGGCTTTGGGAGTCCAGCGCAGCCAGCTCCTGTTTCCCAGGCATTGCAGGAGCTGCCAGGCTGCTTAGGACAAAATTCCTCACAAATCCACCTTTGATAATCTGCTGTACAAACACGGGAAGGGGGCGAGGCTGTGGGAGGGCAGAAAAATCCACTCAGGTAAGAAATCCAAGGCATCCTGTGCTGGGGGCAAGTCCTGAGGCTCAGCAGCCTGGAAAGGCTCCCAGATCCTTGGGAAATGTCCTGAAAGATCCTTGGGAAATGTCCTGAAAGATCCTTGGGAAAGGTCCTGAAAGATCCTTGGGAAAGGTCCTGAAAGATGCTTGGAAAAATTCCTGAAAGATCCTTGGGAAAGAGCCTGAAAGATTCTTGGGAAAGATCCTGAAAGATCCCTGGGAAAGGTCCTGAAAGATCCTTGGGACAAGCTCGGGAGGTCCTGCAGGTGTGTGGTGAAGGGGCCACGCAGCCCCTCGGTGTCTGGGGGGATTCCAGCAGGGAGGACACGCTGGGAATGCCACCCCAACGTGCTTTTCCTCACCCTGCCTGGCTCTGATGGGTCTCTCTCTCTCCCCCCGAGGTTTCCTGAGGGTGGATGGAGCAGCAGGAGATTTTGGCTGCTTTGGGAGAAGCTGGGCACAGCTGGAAATGGCTGAGGTGAGTCTGGGAGGGGAAAACGCCACCGGAGCTGTGACTGGGACATCTCTGCGTTGTCACCACGGAGTGCCCTGGTCACAGCTGCATTTCTGCCTCCTCCACCAACTCCTTGTGCCACCACCTGGGCCAATGTCCTTAAAGCCACCGTGCCAGGTCCATAAACCCCTCTCAGAAAAGCTGGGGCCTCCTGCAGTCAAACCCAGCACGTTTCAGTCGAGGTTTTTTTTTTTTTATGGAATGAGCCCAGTTTGGAGTCCAGTTGGATCAGCACTCCCTGCCTCAGTTTCCCCTCTCCTGAGAGGGTTTGCACAGCAGATCCTCCCCTCCAAAGCGCCTCATAGGTCAGTGCCGGACTTGTAAACGCCTCTAAATTTCAGCCTGAGGGGGGCTTTGGGCAGGATCAGCCCGCCAGCTATGAAAAGCCTCAATTCCCTAGGGAATTCCCGAGCCTGGCTGCCCTCCGCCAGCAGCACGCTCCTCCCGCAGTCAGGGACAGCCCGGGAGAGAGGAAAAAGCGATTTCCTTTGCTCCGTGCACAGGAAGAGCCGCCTGGAAGTGGGGAGGGGGCTCGGTGCCCTCGTGCCTGGGGGCACCTTGTGCCCGGGGTCACTCAGCTCCCGGCTTCTCCCTCCTGCAAGGACCAGCCGCGTTCTCCAGCTGCATCCAGCGCTGGGAATAACAGCGCTATGTTCCCAGCAACCCTGGCAAGCAGAGCTCGGGGTCTCCGGGAGTTTCATCGGGTGCTTCTCCCTCCGTGCCCGCTCCGCATCCTCCCGGCTCGGAGCGCTTTGGAAAAACACCCCGGAGCACCGCGGGTGCTTCTCCGCATGAAGCCTCCATCCCTGATCCTCGCACAGGCTCCTTTCAGCCGCGGGGGTGTCTGTGCTGACCAGATCCCGACCCACAGATAAAAGCAGGGAGCCGCACCGCTGGGAACAGCTGGAATGCCGCTGGTCCCAAGGAATAAAAGCAGGGAGCTTTTAAAATAAAAAAATAAAAAATAATTTTTAAAATAAAAAATTAAAAAAAAAAAAATATATAAAAGCTGGGAACAGCTGGAATGCCGCTGGTCCCAAGGGGCTGGGGTCCCAAGGGGCTGGGTGCCAGCAGCTGGGCATCCCCGGGCTGAGAAAGCTC